TCCTGTTGCTGTTGAGCAAATGTCTGTGAGTGGTAGGTCACCAATGACTGGGAGCCTTCGACCTCAGACATCTCAGGGGGATAAAGGGAAGGAGAACAGGCAGCCTCTTATTGACAAAGGGAAAAGAGTTTGGGTGGATTCTCCTATGGTGCCTATTCAGCCAAGGAGAGGAGGAAAAGGTGGGAAGGGGAGAGGTAAGAGATGAAACTCCTTACCTAGAATACAAGAGGGTTTAAGGCAGAAGGTAAATATACAGCAATACTAAAGAAGATAAATAAGTATAATATAGACATAGTTGCAATACTAGAACCTAGAATAAGATCCTCTGAGACAGACAAGCTAGTTGAGAAGAGATTCCCAGATTGGAGAAAGCGGGTACAACACAACTCAAATGGCCTGGGGAAGATTTGGTTACTCTGGAAAAGCGATATTCAGCTCACTGTTTTACATGCTTCTGATAAGTTCATTCAGTTTATGGTAGGGGGGATGCAAATGTTTTTTGGTACTGTGGTATATGCTTCAAATGAAGAGAATAATAGAAGGGAACTTTACAATGAGTTGAGAAGAGTTAAGGTGGCAAATGCTCCTTGGATTGTTTTGGGTGACTTCAATGATGTAAGGAATTCTTCAGAAGCATCTAATTCTCTAGCAGTGGACTCTAGAATGATGGTGTTTAATGATTGGATCACTGATCTTGAGTTGGAAGAGCATCAAGCCACGGGGCCATGGTTTACCTGGCTGAATAAGCAATCTGCTAATCCAATAGCCGAGAGACTAGATAGAGTGCTTGTTAATTTTGAATGGTTAGACAAGGTGAAAGACAGCAAAGTTCATATCCAAGCCCCGGGGGTATCAGATCACTACCCATTATATGTTGACACTTGTGCTTCTATGAAGTCTCTGCCAAAGCCGTTCAAATTTTTCAAATTCTGGATGAGACATCCAAAATTTGATGATCTATTGGCAGAAGCGTGGCATAGTAGGGTGACTGGTCATCCTCTCATTAGAGTCTGTAAGAAGTTAAAGAATTTGAAGAATATGCTGAGGAAACTCAACAAAGAGGTGTTTTCGGACTTAAGGGAAAGGGTTAAAGAAAAAGAAGCAGAAGTTCATAGTATACAGCGGGAGGCGTTGTCTAACCCTTCACCTGAGAGTTTTGCCAAAATGAATCAACTGGAGCAGGAATTGAGAGGTTTGTACTGTGATTAAGAATCATTTCTCCACCAGAAGTCAAGGGAAACTTGGTTGAAAACAGGAGACTCAAACTCAGCTTATTTTTATAGATCCATAAGGACTAGGCAGAAGAGAAGTACAATAAGAGTCCTGAAAAATGAGCAAGGGGAAAAAGTCCAAGATGTTGATGAGATGTCACAAATAGCAGTCAGATTCTATGAGAAGCTTCTTGGTGTTGAGGATCCTGAGGTTGTAGCTCAAACAGATGAGTATATATCTGGCTTGCTGAAATGGAAGATTACCGTGGAGCAAACTGAAGGAATTTGTGACTCTTTCACAGAGGAGCATATCAAAGAAGTTATTTTCAAGATGGATGGGGACAAAAGTCCTGGTCCAGATGGATTTTCTGCGGCCTTCTTCCAGTATGCTTGGCCAGTTATTGGTTCAGAGGTAACTGCTGCTATCCAATATTGCTTTGAACAGGATAGGTTACCTAGACAAGTGAATGCCACTATCTTAGCTTTGATTCCCAAGACTCCTAATCCTGATGAAATGAGGGATTTCAGGCCTATCTCATGCTGCAACATATTATATAAGTGCATTTCTAAGCTTATAGCTAATCGATTAAGTCCACTGCTCCCTGCCCTGATTAGCAAAAACCAAACTGCCTTTGTTAAAGGGAGATTGATAGGTGAAAACATCCTAATGTCACATGAACTGGTCAGCAAGTATTCTCATAACAAAATCTCCCCCTAGGTGTGCTTTAAAAATTGACCTTATGAAAGCTTTTGATTCGGTTGACTGGTCCTTCATTTTTCAAGTTCTGAAATGTATGGGATTCCCTGAGAGATTTATTACATGGATAAGAATGTGTGTAAGTACCCCAATGTTGAGTGTGTGCTTTAATGGTGGACTTGTGGGTTACTTCTCAGCAAAAAAAGGTTTTAGGCAGGGAGACCCTCTGTCTCCCTACCTATTTGCAATAGCCATGGAAGTTTTTACCTGCTTGATTGACCACTCAGCTGCTGCTGGGAGATTCCCCTTTCATCCCATGTGTAAGGGGATAAACCTCACTCATCTTTGCTTTGCTGACGACCTATTGGTTTTTAGTGATGCCTCAAACTATGGATACAGGAGTTGCGGAGAATTTTGAATCAGTTTAGACAGATTTCTGGTCTGAAGTCTAATCCTAGTAAATGTGAAATATATTTTGGAGGGTTACATCATGATGAAAGGCAAATTAGAGCTGATAGATATGGTTATAAGTTGGGGGAGTTCCCTGTCAGGTACCTGGGAGTGCCTTTGATTGCTGGTAAACTGAGTTTATCAGCTTGCAAACCTCTTATAGAGAAAATAGTTGCTAGAATCACAACTTGGAAGTCAAAGTCATTATCTTATGCTGGTAGAATTGAGTTGGTGGGTACTGTGCTTTACAGTCTGAACCAGTTTTGGATGTCTGTCTTTCTTCTCCCAAAGGTAGTGACTAGAGAGGTGGAGAGATTGTGTAGCAACTTTATATGGGGAGTGGAAAGGGGGGTGAAGCTCAGAGCCAATGTGGCATGGAAAAAAATTACTTATCCTAAAAAGGAGGGAGGTCTCGGATTTAGGGATATGAGTAGTTGGAATTGTGCTTGTGCTGCAAGGCATGTCTGGCAGATTTTATTACAGGAGGGGTCTTTGTGGGTGGCATGGATCCATAAGTACAAATTGAAAGGGAGATGCCTATGGACTTATACCTGTACTTCAGGGTCCTGGAATTGGCTTAAAATATTAAAGCTCAGAAGTGGACTAGCCCCCTTTATTTCGAGCAGGAATGGTGTTTTGCTACTGGATGGTTTGCCTATGCCTCGTTTCTCTATAAAAACAGTTTGGCAACTTATAAGACCTTCCCAGCAGAGGGTTGCCTGGTGGAAATTGCTCTGGAAAGGTGTGGCCATTCCAAGCAATCGGTTGATTACTTGGCTGGTTAATAGAGACAGTATACAAACAAGAGACAAAATGCAGCGATGGGGATTTCAAGGACCCTTGAACTGTGTTTTTTGTGGTGAAGGAGTTGAGAGTACGTAGCATCTGTTTGCCCTCTGCCCTTTCACTAGACAGATACTTGATAAATTGTTTACAGGTTGTATGCAGGTCCCGGTGTTCCAAAATTGGGGGGATATGGTTTCATGGTTGATCGGGAAGTATGGTAAGCAGACAGAGGAGGCTGAGGCAGGAAGACTTATCTGGCAGTCATGGGTTAGTCAGATGTGGAGAGAAAGGTGCTGCAGAATGTATGGGGGTAAAGTTAGGGGGTTGAATGAAGTTTTGGCTGTAATCAGAACTGAGGTTGTGTTTGTTCTTGGAAGGGAAAGGGTGAGTCTCTTCTGGGTTGATTAGCTTGTGGATGTTTCAGAGGTAGTTTTTGGCAGTTCTTGATAGATGTCAACAGGTTGATTCTGATTCCCCTAGCTAGCAAGGGTGTTGCTAGCAAACTCCTTTTTTGATGAATAAGATCCCACAGATTCATAAAAAAAAAAAAGAGAAATCACTTCTCTGCAACTTTCTATCTTCCTTCTCTCTTCCTTTTTCTCTCCCAATCTCTTTTCCAGATCCTCTCTCTTTCTCTCTTCCTTTTTCTCTCTCAATCTCATTTCTAGATCTAAATCTGCTCCCTTCTCTTCTTCTTTATTTTTTTTCATGACGAATAAAAATTGGAGCCACTCTTTTTCATTGCATTTCTTCTCTTCATCATCTCATTGGCCTCAATTTCGATCTTTCTCATTTTTTCGGCATTTTGGTGTTCTTGATTGTGGAAGAGGAAATGAGAGGCGACACAAGACGATCTTTTTTCTCTACCTCCTTTTGTTTTTTTTCTTTTAGATAATATATATTGATATTATAACTCTATATCATATGGTATTCGGTGGTAACGAAATATATATTGATATTACCACACTATACCATATGGTAATGCATGGTATTGTGTGGTAACGAATTATATATTGATATTACCACACTATACCATATGATATTGTATGGTATTGTGTGATATTACCACACTATACCATATGATATTGGGTGATAACGAAATATATATTGATATTATCACATTATACCATATGGTATTGGGTGGTAACGAAATATATATTGATATTACCACACTATACCATATGGTATTGGGTGGTAACGTAATATATATTGATATTACCATATTATACCATATGGTATTGGGTGGTAACGAAATATATATTGATATTACCACACTATACCATATGGTATTGGGTGGTAACGTAATATATATTGATGTGTTAAATTTTTTTCATACCATATGGTATGGTCAATACCATATGGTATAGACTGGTAATAACTGACAAATTTTTTTATGTCCAAAAAATATCAAAGTAGATATCATTTTGAAGAGCACAATTAATCTGATCTAACTGTGCAAAAAAAAAAAATTTCGACTTAAAATGAGTGAGAAATCGTCCGTTAAAGATTAAGAGAATGAAAATTAAAGGTTTTTTCGAGGAGAGAGAAGGCGCTGATGTGATCCGGTCAAAAGTCAGCGTTAGCAATAAATAGAGGTAGGAGCAATTTTACTTTATTGTCCTTTCGTTTTTAATTTAAATAAAAAAAGGAACTGACACGTGGCGACAAGAGAAGAGGTTACTGATGGGTTACTGACCCTTCAGTTACTTACCTGATCTGGTCCCATAGCACCCTATCATCTCCCACTTGACAAACAATCAAAGACGCGGGAACTTTTGGTGGTTAACTGCCTAAATCAGAAGAGCGCGGGAAAATTAAAACTTATCTAAATTTGGCTGTTTATCTCGCTCCAGCGCGGCGCCAAACACTTTAGGGAATGAAAATCGCCGGAGGAAAGCAAAACCCTGCAACCAGGCTGGCTTGGAAACTGACGCGAATCAGAAAGGTTTTGGAGGAAGAAGGAAGATCGTTAACAAGAGGTGCGAAAAATGAAACCAAAGGACAATCCAATTAGGGCTATAGGCCAGAGATCCATTATGTCGTCCTTGGTTTTCCCATCTTCTTCCAACCGCCGGTAAGCTATCCGCCGCAGCGGCACGATTGCTCGACGATTTGCTTCTGGCTGTTTGAATTCTCTGTTCAACTTTAGCTAGTAACCATTTCTTTCGCTGAACACTTCAGGAACGAAATCAGCGCTCTGGATCCCGATGCCGCGGGAGAACAGAAGAAAAACGGTTTGGTGAATTCTTCAAAGTTATCGCTCTCTGATTTCCTCAACAAGAAGCTGCACAAAACTGCCGTTCGCTCCAGATCACTGAAGGTGTGCTTCTTCCTTCCTTTTCTCAATTAGCCTGCTCTTGGCATCTTTGGCGAATTGCGAGGGTTAGCTTTTGCTTGGAATTTGCGGACTTATTTGAGGTCGAATTGAAGGTTAGGGTTTGAATTCTGTTTGCTGGACTTTGGTATCAGGGTAAGTCCCAGCCTTTTCTGTCGCCATTAGGTCGTAGAACCGACAGCAGCGTTAGTGGGGGCTCAAAGGATGACATGGAAGAGAGGAACTCCCTGGCGGAAGTGGATGATGAATTAGTGTTTCATTTGTTTAAGAAGCCTGCTGTTGGTGAAAAGGGAAATGCTGCTGCTGATTCATCATGTGGATTTGGCACAATCACGAAACCAACTGATTCCAGCAGTTTGCCTGGTTTGGGTTCTTCTCACTCAGATTGCCCGTCCAGAACAGGTACAAGAACACTTAGGCCTTTAGGATGAACTATTTCAAACTTTATCTACTATATATCAGTTTATACATAAGCTATCCCCCCCGAGAGCTCTAGTTTAGTTAGGAAAAGATCGTGACTTCACAGACTTGGCTTTTCCACTTTCCATGTCTCTTCCTGAGTAAAACTAGGATTTGGGTCGATTCTGTTAGCGTTACAACTGAAAATTTTCTAGCTAGCTGCTGGTGCTTGAGTAAGCTTACACCACAGCTTATCGCAGTTTAATGTGTGGAATTAGTTTTCTGCACTTGAAACTTTTCATGAGGTTGTTAAAGATTCCTACTTGCCGGCATTGGTTTTCATCAAGGAATGACTCAAAATTTACGAACTTTGACTGTTGAAGCTTCTAGCTGTAGCTTCCATCCTTATGGTTTATGACTCATAAGATGTTTATCTCACCAGGGTTACAAGCTTGTGAGCAAATAAAGCATACTGCTGCTGCTGTTCGTAAACCGCCCTTGGTGCTGGGGGGTGATCAACAAGAGAGAAACAGGGCAGCTGAAGATAGATTCAATAACAAGAAAAAGCAGGAAAAGGTCTACAATCATTGTGAGTGAGATCAGTGGCGGATCCAGGGGGTGGCCACCCCGGGCCCCAGCCCAGCTCTCCTCTGGATCCATAGTTAGTATAGGCCTTATGAATTTTTCGATTTTAGATATTTGGGTCGTTGTTATTTTAAAATAAGATTGGGTATAATTAGAAAAATAATTCAGATGAACATATTAAAAATCACTACTCTAAATTTAGCTTATAAATTCTAACCCCAAAGGTTATTCGTCTAAAAAAACAATGAAACATAAAAATTCAAAAAATTTAAAACGTAAAAGACTAAAAGATATATGAGGTTTGTTACCTTGGAAAATTTACTAGAGTAGCTTGTGGATATAAGGATGGAAACACAATGCAAATTGTTTAGTAGATTGATTTGTCTAGTGTTGATGCTGCTCGTTTCAACAGCTAATACGAATAGAACCTTTTTAACAACGAAACATGTGAAAATTGATTTGCGCAACAAAATGAGCGATGGATTTCGAGTCGATTGCTCAAGTATTTTATTTGAAACAGTGTATACTATTGGTATGGATGTGGACTCCATTATTAATGTATTCGCTAAATTAAAATACCGTCGTGTACAATTTACATTGTAAAAAAATTATAATCATTATATTTTTTTACTATTCTAATTTTCTAATAAAATGCGGCCCAGTGCACTTCTGTGTTCTGGAGCCGCCGCCGAGTGAGATACGGAAATGATATTCTCTTTGGAGGCTTTCCTTGATGGTATGGGAAAAGGCATATCTGATTTTATTGTTTCCTTAACCTGCTTTTGCTTTTCTGTGCTTTGGACAGATGCTAATGGCTCTGGTTGGTGGGACTGCGACATGGAAGGTGTTGATTCAGAGGAAGTAGGATTTGGTGAGATATGGGAAGGTGTGGGTACTACAACGTTCGGTGGAATAGAATGGCACTGATTTTCTCTTTCTTTCTTGTGATCTCAGCTTCAGCAGTTCTTTTTCCTTTTTCCTTCACTGCTTCATCCAATTGCCTGTTTGAAAGCCAGGCAATATCTCTAATCGTGTATATTTTCTAAGGTCGGGACTCTTTAAGAAATCTAAGCACTGTTAGTACTTACTATTAGGGCTGCAAATGAGTCAAGCTACTCGCGAGCAACTCGAGGCTCGAATCGGGAAAATCTCGTTCGAAACTCGATTCGTTTACTGACGAGCCAAGCTTGAGCCTAGCTTTGTTCAGCTCGTGAAGCTCGCGAGCTAGCTCGACTCGGTGGCTTGTTAAGCTCAACTCGTGAGATGGCTCATTTAGAGCTCATGAGATGTCTCAACATTGTGGTTTTGAGGGCCAACTTGATCACTGACTTATGGACTAATAGATCTAATTTGGACTTTCATAATTCATAGGGTTGTTAAATTATATATCTCACATCATGTGAAGTTTAACATGTTGAACATGTAAGAAAATATGCCTTATTTTTAATTCTATAAAGAAATTATGTACAAAATTGTTTCGATACTATGAAATAACATGATTTGAACTAGTTAAAATTTATTAACTAAACAATATGACACCTAAAAATTATAATATAAGATTGATTAATATTGAACATTTGATTATTATTTTTTATCTCTACATCAATCACATGTACCATACACGACATACAAAATGAATGTATTAAATACGATCTGAGAATTTAGTAAACAAGCCTAGCCCGAGCCATTTATTAACGAATCAAGTTCAAACTTGAGTAAAACTCGGATCATTTGCAGCCCTACCTACTATCACGATTTTCCTTCATGATCTCTAATGCCGAGTCTGGTGGAAGGAACTACTGCTCTACAAATTTGCAAAAGGTTAAACCAATGGACAGGAAAATAATCATAAGAAAAAATGGGGTGAGAGAGGCTCGAACTCTCGACCTCAGGATCACTCTTTAGCTATGAGACCTACGCGCTAACCAACTGCGCCACCACCCCTTGTTGTTATGTTTACTCGAAAGGTTAAAATAATTGACATGAACATAGTCATAAGAAAAATGTGGTGAGAGAGGCTCAAACTCTCGACCTCAGGATCACTCTTTATCTATGAGACCTACGCGCTAACCAACTGCGCCTCCACCCCTTGTTATTAATGTTTACTCAAATACATTTTAACAACTCTCGTAGACTAGACCACCTCAATCGTCTCTGGCAGTTTCACTAACTTTCCCGGTCAGATTCCATTTACCCTCTGCAATCGCCCGCCACCAAAGTCCAAAACCCTAAATCGGCGAGACGTGGAACTTTCTCCAGCCATGGAAGCTAGCGGTCTCGTTCTGTGTCAGCCTTCAACGACTTTGGACGTCCGAGCTTCGACGATGAGCAGTTCGGATCACAGCGGGCAGGGTTAATCATCTGTCATGAACCAGTTGCTCCCAATAACTCGAGTTGTTGGGAGAAGGTTCTGCTGGATCTTATACCACACTCTAACACGCCCCCTCAAACGAAAGCCAATTCACGGGCTTGAAGTTTGCACAGGCCCACCATACCTTATGCTTTAATCAAAGGTTAATATTGGGGGTCGTGGAGATTCGAACACAAGACCTTTCGTCACAGAAGGCTCTGATACCATGTCATGAACCAGTTGCTCCCAATAACTCGAGTTGTTGGGAGAAGGTTCTGCTGGATCTTATACCACACTCTAACAATTGGAGCTCTATCCTCTGTTGGCGCGGCGCGGCGCACGGCGGGTAATAGTCTCTCCTCCTGCAGCGATCATCGGAAAGACAGGTGAATTCCTGTTCGTTGATTTCTTGGTAAAATTTCCGTTTCTAATTCCTTACCATTTGTTGCTTTAGATAGAATTGATTTGATCAGTACAGAAATCCAAGAATCACAACAGTAGCTACTGCGACTTGGGGAAAAGCGGTAGAAGGTCAAGGCTACGTGAAGAAGAAGATACCACAATTACTGATAGGTTTAGCCATCTTCCTGACTCCATCATTCATCACATACTTTCGTTTCTCGATACCAAATCCGCTGTTCAGACCTCTGTACTGTTCAGAGTTTGGCAATGCGCTTGGAAACATGTCTCTGTCCTCAAGGTTTTGGCCCTCCGCCATCCCTTGGAATGTCCGCAAGTTAGCCTACATTCATAATCATCGTTCGGAGAGCAACAATCACGTCGATAGTCTGTTTGTCAAGGTCATCCAATATGCCTTATCCCATAATGCTCAACATTTAGTGATTCACCTGAGGACATATTTCGATCGCCGCAGCAGTTTCTCTGATCTATTTGGCACAATCTCGAATTGCAACATCGAAACTCTAGAACTAAGATTTATCTACATTGATAGTAGATTTGGATCTTATGGCTTCAGAAAGTTGAGGACTTTACTTTTGAAAAGTTGCTGCTTAGCTTCTTATTTGGCTGAGGGCTTGGATAATTTTTCTAGCTTACCGTGTCTGGAGAAATTGGCCCTGACTCATTGTTTGGACTTTGGTAATATGAAGCTATGTGGACCGCAATTGGTTAGCCTTGAATTGGATTGTGTCTCATGTTACAAGTTTGAAATATTTGCTCCGAAACTCAAATTCTTGAGTCTTCGGCATGATATAGAAGACGTAGGAGTCTACAAGTTAACTGTTCCTTCCCTCGATCGTGCTGATATCCGTGTCATTGACGTGAACGATTTCATCGAGTACCACGAGGTAGGGGCGCTACAATGTTTGATCTCCTTTCTCCAAGCTCTAAACAATGTAACATCCCTCCTGCTGGGTCATTGCACCATCGAGGTAATCTTGGTTATTCTCACTGTACATATAATAAGTGTTTCCTTCCTGCTAATATTTAACTTAAGAGCTAAGCTTGCTTATTTTCTAACTTCTGTGTAGTTATTGGGTAAGCTTCCCAGCTGCTGGAAGATCAACCGGAAGTAGAAGCGGGTGCTCTTATCCTTCCTCGTGCTCTCAAGGAAGCGGGTGCTATTCGATGGAATGAAACCCTAGTCAGCCAATTCCTATCGGATCTGCCACCGCTTTCAGTCATCCAGAGTTTTGCGAATAGGATGTGGGACAGAGAAGGACTGGTTCAGGTTTTTCAGTTTGGTAATTCGATGTTCTTGTTTCAGTTCTCAGACCTCGGGACGTGCACCTGGGTCTTCGAGGGAGGCCCTTGGCACTGTCAGAATGTTCCTCTCTATCTGCGTCGCTGGACGCCGGAGATTCAACCGTTGGATCTGCATCTAGCTTCCCTTCCTATCTGGGTTAAGATTGCTGGTATTCCTCTGGAGTATCACACAGTCGAGGGTTTGAGCCGTATCGCTAGTGTCCTGGGCGTACCTCTTTGGATGGATCAGGCTACCAAGAGGGGGGCAAATGTTGGTATGGCTAAGATCTGTATTGAGTTGAGGGTAGATTCTACTTTTCAGGATTCTATTCGGATTCAACCAGATGGTGATGTGGGTTTTGATCTTTCGGTGGAATACCTTCGTCATCCCCCTAAGTGTCTCCATTGTCAAGTTTTTGGGCATGCCCAAGGTAGTGGGGAGGAGTGTTGATTACCGGAGGAGAAGGACATTGTTTGGCAGAAGAAGTCGAGTGGTGAAGGTGCCAAGTTATCCTCGCCAGCCTCTCTAGGCTCTCCAGTCAGAGTTGTGTTCAGTACTGATGCTGACACACCTTGGGGGGGGGGGTTCCAGGTTGTCTAAGGGATTCAAGGCTCAAGTTCGGGGGCTTGTGTGATGTCGCTTTCTATGAGCACTGACAAGGGTAAGGCAGTTGTGGAAACAGTAGTTGTTGATACAGGGTCTGGTAGTCAAGGTGTGGTTGAAGTTGCCAGTAGTTCGAATTCTCAGTCACAAAGTAAGTCTAAGGCTAAAGCTCCACCTCCTCGTCGTGGGCGTGGGAGGGGCAAGCGTCGATGATTTTACTGTCATGGAATGTCAGGGGTTTCAACACTCGTGAGAAACACAGGTATATAACAATCAACTAAATAAAAATAGAGTAGATTTCGTTGCTTTGTTAGAAACTAGAGTTGTGAAGGAGAATTATGATACTATAGTTAAAGGACAGTTTAAAGAGTGGGAAGTTATGGATAATTACTCAAAGTCAGCTTCGGGTCGGGTCTGGTTGCTCTGGAGGAATGAGCTGCAGGTTACAAAACTGGAGTCTGGTGAACATTTCCTTCATGTGAAGGTAACAACAAAGGATGAAGTTCTGATAGTTACTGCTGTTTATGGCCCCAATAAAACGTTGCAGAGGGCTCAGTTGTACAAGGATCTAGCAGCTTGTCAAAGGTCTTATGTTCCTTGGGTAGTCTTTGGTGACTTTAATGCCATTGCTGAAGTCAACGAGGCATCAAATGTAGTGGTAGTGAATCAGAGCATGATGGATTTTCGACACTGGATTGATGAAATGCAACTGGTAGACCATAAGGTCTCTGGTTCATGGTATACGTGGTGGAATAAGCAGAAATCTAATCCTATTGCCAGACGTATAGATAGGGTCTTAGTTAATAGCACTTGGTTGGATAGTTTTCATTCCCGTGCTGCTAGAACATTGAGCCCTGGTGTCTCTGACCACTGTGGGATGTTGTTGTTGACGTCTAATGGCTTGAAGAGTTTGCCAAAGCCTTTTAAATATTTCAAGTTCCGGAGATCTCACCCTGCTTACTATGATCTTTTGAAAACAACTTGGGAGGATTCTGACCTGGAAGTGAATGATCCGTTTGATAGACTCTTTCTGAAGTTTTTGAGGCTGAAGAAGAAGCTTAGAACATTGAATCGTACCGCTTATGTTGACATATCTGTTAAAGCAAGGGAGGTTGAGGTTTGCCTGGCTGCTGCTCAAGATGAAGTTCTTAGAGCTCCTACTGAAGAGAATGTTGAGAGAGAATCAATCTTGGCTCAGGAATGTTTTGAAGCACAAGCTGCTGAAGAAAGCTTTTTCAGACAGAAGTCTCGGATGTCTTGGGTTTTGGGAGGTGACTCTAACACAGGGTTTTTCATAACTATGTCAGAATCCGAAACAAAAGACAGACTATAGATCATCTGGTGGTAGAGGATGGTTCAATAGTCACTGATGTAGAGCAGACGAGGGGTGTTGCTGTAGATTTCTATAAGTCTTTGCTTGGC